TGGAGAGCGAGTACAGTGATTGGTTTAAAACATTTTCTATGTAAAATGACTTTAGCTTCAGAATATTTGGGAATATAGTAACCTGCAATCATTTTGGGGTGGACAGGTTTGGGTATAAACAAATAAATATAAAGAAAAATAAAGGAGTGAGCTCATAGCTGAGTATGGGATGTCAGGCAAGTTATAGACCTGAACCTGAAGCATGAATTTGGTATTTACATGTGGCAGGGTGGAGGAGGGTGGAGTGAGAAGGTGGGAGAGTGGTAGAGGATGATGAGATTAAATGATGCCGGAAAGAAGGCATTTATCATGAATCATTAACAAGTGCGTGAATGGCGGAAGGTGGAAGGTATGGCAAAGAAGCCTCTGCTAGTATATTACCATTTAGTGAACAGATGGGAAAGGTCCGGTAAATAGTACACATTTACGTGAAGAATAAAATCATGTTACCTAGCTTCTAATAATGTATTTTGCCTCTGTTTTTGATAGTGGCACCAAAGGATTCTTTGTAGAAAACTTTGACAGCAGCCTTTAAAGTCATTATTCCTATAAGTGAGTACTTTCAAAATCTTTACTATCCTGAACCATATCTTGAGAAAAATTGAGATGAGGTTTCAATAATGATCTCCGGAGGAGAAAGACAGTGTATTGTAGAGAGCCCCAAGTCGTTCTTATTTCTATTAGTGAACCTCTGTCAGTACACTTTCTAGGCAAGCCTTGCTCTTGAAGCACTTTTCTGATTGGTTCATGTTCCCAGACACCTTCTGGGAAGAAGGATGGCATCATGTACCCTGGATGTTTGTCCTTCAAGAATCAGTTTAGCCATCACTTCTACTGGAAAGCCTTTCCTTATTACCACTGGTACTCAGCTGTGTTTGCTCTACATACCTCTGCTATAACATTTATAACATTACTGTAACATAATGCCCATTTTACTACAATGTCTCTCTCACCAGGCTGAATTCCTTGTAGCTGGGGCCTAGTTTTGGTCACCTGTTTATTCCCAGCACCTTGCAGAGCACTTAGCACAGGTAGGCCATTAATACACATTTAGAGACTGTTGAACCAGTATCTCTGAAAACATATGTACAACAGAAATATCATCTAGAAATTTTCTTGAGAGAAGGAATCTAAAATGGATTTTTCAGAAAGGAATCTAAAATTAATTTAGTTTCTTTGGGGGCAAGGTCTTAGTTTTGTACATAGCTCATGCCCTTTCTTTCTTTCTCCTCCTGTAGTTTGCCTTTGGCCATTTCACTGCTTATTATTCAAGGGCTAGAGAGAAAAGGAGAGAAGCTGAAATTCAGATCAGTTAATTAAGCTGTTTGGGAACAGCTCTGAAAAGGGTTGAATGTGGTGGTGGGTGAAATCAATAGCGAACTGGTGGTTTGAGATCATCTATAGCTCTCACTACCCAGTCTTCTCTACTTCACACCCCTCAATCAATGGCTGTTCAACATATGAAGCATTTTATAAGTTCATTCCAGCTTCACAGGATTTGTCCCTTTGTTCTGGAGTACCTGTTAAGGCATATGTCCTGATTTTTGGTTTGGAGAATTTGGTCAGCACACCAACATTAGATATATCGGGTGGTCTGCTTCTATAGGGTAATTTCATGGTCCTAAGGAAAGAATTTAAGAGTTCATTTTCTGAAACTGGTTCAAGAAACATTCCTTAAGTGAAAAAATTCAATCAAGAATAATATTCCCTACATTTTGGAGAAGGATTTTTAATATAGAACTTCCATCTGTGATATATTTAAATTCTAGGCCTCAGGCAGCAGTTTCAGAAAAGGGCCTCCTTTACCCTTTATTAGATGCAAAATAAATAGTCTACTCTGCGGATGGGGACTTCCCCTTACCTCCCCACCCCTGCGAAATCTAAGACATGCTTCCCTCATTCCTAAAATCACACATGCTACTTTTTTTTTTTCACACAGAAATTCTGCTATTGACATCAAAATATTTATTAAAACTTTAATTACTCGAATTATTTTGTAACTACTCCTATTCAGTAGAAAAGAAGCCGGTGAAGCTGTCCAAATGGCGGCCTGCAGTCAATGCGCGGAAAGCCGTCAATACTGAAATGTAATACTCTCTTGATCTAGTTTTGACGGTTTAACAAAGACAGGTTTTGCCATTTAGGACCGCTCAGCCATCTTGACTGAATACGTTAAGAGGGTAGTCCTGGACCTGCTTATTGCCAAGGGACTTTCACAGTGATTTCTAAGTTACTGTAGGAATCTCAGCCTATTACTCGACAGAGGCCTAACATGTTGGAGCTGTCAATAAAGATCCGCACTTTGGAAGCAGAAAGAAGGCACAAGTTTTATATGCACACTTTCTTTATTATGCATTCTTCCAGCCATCAAAGAGGGGAAGATTGTACTCTCCCAAAGCTTACAACTTTGTTACTTTTCATGACCTGTAGCATGTATTTAGCCTTTGGGTAATGTTTGTGCAAGACTAAGGCCCACTCTTTAATGGCTGAATGCATACATTTCGCAGCACGTGGTGGATTCGCTGCTCTGAGAATTGCCTTTAAAAAAAGTAAAGTGAAAAATAGACAAAGAAATCTGGAACCTTAGCAGTGTTTCCTATTTGTTTGGACTGTTCTTGAACCAGCTCTGAGGCGGTGACCGGGCCATTGAAAAGATGCACCTGAAACAGGATCTGCGGGCAGCTGCATTTGCCACCCGGCTTTATTGCTGCTTTCCAGCGGCGAAGGCGCAGCAGCAGTAACAGGGAAGCCAGAGCGAGCCTCCCCGGCAGCGGCGGCGGCGGCGGCGGCACCGGCACCAGCGCAGTTTCCCCTCTCCCCAGCCCTGACTCTACGCGCACATGCGCACTGCGCCCGCAGCCCTGGACCATTTGTCAGGACTACTCGTGAGACGGAGAAAAAAAAAAGAGAAAATTTGGGGGTAAGAAGCGGTTGATCGGATCTAATCTCTAATTAATCTGAAGATTTGTCCGTGCAAAAGCCATTCATTTATTTTTCTGGGTGAGGATGAAAGTTAAGAGCCCTATAGAGGGAAGGAAGCGCACCCTCGTCTTGTGAAACAGATCAGGGGAGGGGAGGGACAGAAGGGGTTTCTCCCCCACTTCTCTGCGCCTCTGGGAAAGAGGAGAAAACTTAATCCCGGGGAAAAAAGTGGGCAAGTGACTCGGAAACGGCTGGAGAGGGAGTCTCTGGGCATCTCACTCTGAAGTAGTGAGTGCGAGTGTGAAAGAGGAACAAAAGAGAGAGAAAAGAGAAAGGAAAAAATGGGGGGAGGAGAGACTTGTATTTTTTTCTTTGCGCGCACACGGGGAAGGGTGTGGGGGGCCGTGCGGAAGGGAGCCGGGGCGAGGCGGCCGCGTCGGGCTCAGGCTGGCGCGCAGGCGGCGGGATGCGTGTGGCCCCCTCCCCCGCGCCCCCCGAGCTTGTCACTTTGGTCGCTTTCGTGACACCGGGCGCGGGGTGGGGGAGCGCGGCGGCGCCGGGCTCCGCCGGGGTGCGTGTCCGGGTGGGCGCCGCGGAGCCGCAGCCCGGGCGGCGAGCGCGGCCGCCGAGGCGGGGGGCGCCGGCGGGGGGCGCGGGGGCGGCCGGGGACGCAGATCGGTGCGGCGGGAGGCGCGAGCCCCGCGCGCCGCCCCTGCGGCCCCCTCCGCCCGTGTGGCCTTTGTGCCGGGCGCGCACCGGAGAGCGAGCGAGCGGGCGGGCGAGCGCGAGAAGTACAAGTACGGGAGACCGAGGCAGTGGGAAAAGAGGCCGGGCCACTTTCTCCCCTCTCGGGCTGCGGAGAATGGACTGGTTGAATGTGCAGGCGCGTCTCCCCGGCGTGTGCTGTGTGTGTGCGCGGCGGAAAGGCCTGCCCGACTCCCACCGCGCACACGCACACTCACACGCACGCACACACACGGACCCGCGGCGGGGCTCGGCGGCCGAGAGTTTGCGTGGCTTCCTCGCCGCCTCCTTCTTCCCGACCGAGTGTGTGAGAATTTCATATAGATCAGCTCCAATTTCCGCCATTTTGGGAAAGTTGCACAAAAATAAACCCTCCGGTTTATTTCTGCCCGAGGCAGGAAAGTGCTTTGGGAAGCGAGGCGGCGCGGGCCCGCGGCGGCCGTCCGCGCGGTAGAGGGCGCGGGCCGCGGGCGGCCCGCGGCAGCCGTCCGCGCGGGAGAGGGAGGCAATGCGCCGCCGAGAGCCCGCGCTGTCGCGGCGTTCGCCCCGCGTTGCAGCCACGCCGCAGCCGGCCCGGGTGCGGCGCGGGCGCGGGCGTGTGTGTCGAGGGAGGCGGCGGCGGCGGCGGCGGTCGCGGCGGCGGCGGCCGCGCCGGGGCGGCGGGCTGGGGGGGGAGGGTGGGGGCGGCGCGGGGCTGCTTTTCCTGCAACTTGTTTACGCCTGCCTTATCCTGGGGAGGAAAAGAGGGGTCGGGGCCGGGGCCGGGGCCGCCGCCCGCCTCGCGCCGCGTGCGTGTGCCGTTCCGGAATAATGGGCTTTGCACACTCGCGTCCTGGGCCCCGCGGGCCGTCCTCGCGCCGCGGCGGCGGGGCGGGGGGAAGTAGAGGCCGGCGGGGGTGGGGATCGGGAAGCGCAGGAGCCGAGGCATCCGCCGCGCGCCCCGCGAGCTGGTGGAGTGTGGGGGCCGGCGGGCAGGGAGGAAAACTTGAGAGCCCTGGAGGGGGAGGAGGGCATGGTGGCACGGGCGGGGGGAGGGCGCAACTTTTGGACTGGTGGTAAAACTTTAATTACCTTTCAAGAAAAAAAAGGCCCTGCGATTCCCCCCTCCCCCCTGTCCCGGTCAAAGCACGGCCCGCAGCGCGACCGTGAGAGAAAGTTTAAAAGCGGGCGGGTTCCTCCCGGGTCCCCGCGGAGGGCTGGGGGCGTCGGTCTGTCCGCCTGCGCTCGGAGGGAGGTGGGGGTAACTAGCTGCTCTCCGGGGCGCGGGGACCGCGGCTCTACCCCACCTTTCTACGGGAGACGGAGGTAAACGTTGCTTCGGTTTCCCTTCTGAGTCCCCCTGCTGCCACCACCCCGCTTCCTTTTCCTCCCCCTCCCCGCCGATTTTTTGAGGGGACCCGAAAAACGGAGTCCCTTTCCTTAGGCAACTTCCTTGGGCACTGTGAGCACGGCCCTCCCCCTCACCGCCCCCACCCCCAACGCCCCGCATCCCTTGGCCCGCTTCTTCTCCACCTCGGGACCACCGCCAGAAAAATGCATTCGAGATCATTCAGAGTGCATAGAAACAAAAATAGATTTTTAATTGTTAGGTTAGGGGAAACTGAGATGAGAAATAAGATTTTGGGGTGGGGGGGCGCGGCCAGGGCAAGTGCGTCCATTTCTCCTTTTGGTTTTCCTAGAGCGTTGTTTGTGATGTCTTTATTGGTTTAGGGAGTCGGAGAGGCTCTGTGCTGGCTATCTCGGTCGCGTGGATTTTTGCGCAAGTTTTTAGAAAAACACTGACTCGAGTAGAGAGCATTTCTCCGGAAAGTTTCAAGTGCAGCAAAATAGCGAACGTGCAAAACTGGCCAAGGGGAGACCTCTAGTGGTTAAACGCGTCTTTAAGTTCGGAAGGCCGAGAGCAAAGTTTGGCCTTTACTTGTAGCTACGTAGTCCGTTCAGACGTGGAAGTAATTAGAGGACCTGAGCGAGCAGCCAGATGTTGTGTGAAAGGATGCTGATCAGAAATTGAAAGTTTAGTAAATCGGAGCAATGAATTCTGAGGACTCAGACCCTGTAACTTCCATCCGACATGAGTTATGTAGGAAAAACACTTTGCTTTTATTCTGGGATTTGAGATTGATCGCTCCCTGAATTGGAAACAATCGTTTGCATTTGCATTTATCGGTGTCTGTACCTCTGATCAATTTTTAATTATGAGTCTCAGCTGATGACTTCATTTTGAATGTTAATAAAACTGCGAAGTTGAAATGTGTTTAAAACTTTTGAAGAAATGGAAAAGACTTTTAGTTGAGATTTGCCTTTTATATGAGCTGTTCATTTTACTCTCTGATAAATATAAGGCAATTTTATGTAGTTTCTTAGCTGTATAGTTATGTGTAGTCCGAATAAGTAGTCCCTTTTGGTTCTAAGACTGTAATTTTGTTTCACTGACTACGAAATTGTTTCTGAATACTTGTATAATTTGTGATTTAAAGTCCTTAAATGTGTGGGTTAAAACTGTTCATATAATATCTATTCTTTTTCCAGTGTGTATTCTGTAAAATATCTTTAATTTTAAAGGTAAAAACAGTGAGGGAAATTAAAGTTGACTCAAACGATCCTTGTAACTTTCACCTGCCTGTAATATACAATAGGAGACACTTTATTGGGTGAATTTAGGACATGGGAATGATAGGAATGATTAAAATCTATTTCAACTCATCTAGAACCAGCTTATTTTATTTTAATTTACCTACTGGCATGGTGTAAAATTATGCCTAAGTGATTCAGAATGTAAACTTCTTAATTGGGGATTGTGGATTTGAAGGTTTCTTTTTGATGACAGTGTTTTGATTTTACCTCCCCTCTCTTTAAACCAATGATAGAACCCTTAGGAGAAATCTTGAGAGTGGACAGCAATTGTGAAGATCGCCAGAGAGTTCTGTGTTTTATCACCGCCGAAAGGTAAGACCCGCTTGTTGAAACAAATTGCTTGACATACCTGCAAATGTTAAAAAGCTGCATTTGGAGATCAGGAAGGAGAGTATGAGACGGGCTTGGCAGAAAAACATCATTTTGTGGGACTGCTTTGAATGCATGAATGTATTGACACTAAGTGTGATTGTAGTTTGAATGAAACATTAGGAAGTTATGAGATTGTCCTGGATAATCTTTGTATTGGCTTACTTACTAGATTCTTAATTAGGATTTTAGCACCTATTTTCTACTGAAAGTAAATTGTCTTATTCTTTGGAGTTGAAAAAGTGGAAAAACTGGAACAAAAGGGTTGTAAATTAATATGTGTGTTAGTTACATCGTTATACAGTGATATGGAAGATTCTGGAACTCTAAATGTCTTGGGGGGGGCCAGTGGTAACATTTTGTGAATGAAATTTACATTGAGTGCTTTGGGGGTATTTGTCACATAACTTCTATGGCTTAAATCCAAGATGGGCTGACTTGTGCCAGGTACCATGTTGCACAGTTATGAGTGTGAGTTTCAGTGTGTTAGCTTAGACTTGTCAACGTTTGAACATACCTCCAAAGGGAATACAGCTGTTGTCTACCAATACCTCTTTGGTAATTTTGGAGGGTGTTGGCTTCCTTCCAATACTCCAGGACCTCCTTTTAGGGCAAAGGTCATTCTGAGGCAGAGGGGGCAGCCATCTCTGGGGGTAGAACATTTCAGTACATTTATGCTATTCCAGTGCTTTCTACTGTTTATACCTTTTTCATTTTTGTTTTTTTCTTACTTTAATCTTCCCCTCTCCTTTTCTGCCTGTTTTTCTGCCCTGTCTTGAGTAATAAAAGGGTCGCTAAATCTTGTTTGGCAAAAACAAAAGAAAACCAAAATTAGCCTACCTTTTTAGAGCAGAACTAACAACCTTCATTGGGCCAGATGTAATCTAGAAGTCAAAATGAGTAATTATTGATATAAAAATGATTGACAGGAGTTTATTGTCTTTTGCTGCTCGTGGATCGTTTTGAATTGTGTAATTAGCAAAATAAGTAGATATGGTCCATGTAGTATGCAGCAGAGACAATGGGGCAAGAACAGCTATAGGAGGGTCATGCAGACAAGTAGGGTTCAAGTAGAGTAAAATCTGTTTCCTAAGATGGTGAGTTTCATGTTTAAATGTGCTGACTTGAAGACACTGCTTGTTTTTCTTTGGGAAGTCACTGGGTCTGTGGATAGAAGGCTACAATAAGAATCAGAAGACTAAATTCAATAACTAGATATATCACCTTGTATATGTCACTCTGCCTCCTTTAACCTCCATTTCCTCATCTGCAGAGTGGGAGCAATACTTGCCTCGTATCTTTTGTTAAAAGAATCAAATAAAATCAGATTTTGAGAACCATAAAGAGTTATTCAGATGTATAGTGGTCATATCATTTTACCTTTGTCAAGCTTTGTGAAAGGCTGGAGGTAGATTGTCTAAGTCAGAATATATTGATTTAACTCTTGGCTAAAATTTTTAGATTGGTTTCTGATGTGTGTATGATACGGATTTCTCAGAATATTTCTAGGAGTGTATCTTGTCTTGAGAAAAAAGTAGTTTCTCTTGTATACTGTTGGCTTTTTGAGGGAAGAGACCATGCTCTAACATGGTGCAGAATATAAAACCTGAAATTTATTTATCCCAAAGTAGTCATTGAATAAGTAGAAGGAGTAAATGAAAGAAATACTTTAAAATGATGCCTAATTGTGAAAATGGTAGGGTGATGAAAGTAGAAGGGTTGGTGTGAGGGGAATTAATGTACTGTAATTAATATTTTAGTTGCATGAGTCTGCTGGGAGATGAGGATGAGAAAATAGGTAACTGGAGTAGTAATGATTTAAACTAACTATAGGGGCCAGAACATGAGTCCTCCGAGTGACTGAATTTAGGAAAGGTCCAAGTAGGGCTTTTCCTCATTGTTTTCTAGACCTCTTTGGCTGCAATCTAATTATAGCCAACTATGTAAAATCTAGATTAAAAAAAATTGCAAGTACTATCTGTTATTATTTTCGATTTGATGCTACTAAACCTGACAAAATAAACCCTGACAAGTTTTAGTTTTATTTCATCTCCAGTCTTTGGAGATTATCCAATCAATGTTCTAAGAATCCAAAAACCCAATAGGGGAGGAAAAAAGAAGTCTATATCCTGTTTAATTAATCCCTGAGTAATTGTGAGTTGGTTCTTAAAGAATTTCGACTGGGCTGGTAGTTTATTTTTAAGAATTCCATATTTCAGCCAGTGCTGTTTATAGTAGTGCAGTTAGGATGGGGAATTTGTGAGAGAACTTACTTTATGTGGTGTGTGGGATATACCGTTGGCATCCCAAGGATGGGTAACTTGAGTGATCCTTGCAGTATTGTTTCTGCTAGTTACTTAACCAGTTTCTTTCTGAGCTCTTACAGTGTTGAACACTTAAAAGACTAGATCCTTGCTCTTGAGGAGTTCTAGAGATCCTTACTCTGGGAGTAGACATAACGAACTCTTCTAATAATAGTGTAACAGTTTCACATGGTACCAGTAGGAAAGGATGAGGGCTCCAGCATTCTTTGGAGCTGTTGTGCCAGGAAACATGGATTTCTGGGCTAACTGATGCAGGACAATGGCATATTATCCAATACACATAGCACAATATAATGCATTCCTCTTTTAGTGCTTCGTCTTCAGAAATGAGTAAGAAGCCCTTCACCCACTGTCAAGGAATGCCTGATTTGTGTGTCTAGCAAGAGTCTAGCAAGATGGATCGAGGTGATTCTTTCTTTGACCAGTGTGTTTGCAAGGTGACTTTCTGGTGAAGATCTACACTGTCTTCCAGTGTTACCACTTGCTACTATTGAGGGATTTGTTCCTTACAAGGATTTGGGGATGCTTATAACATAGGTAAAGATACTGTATTTAGAGAGAACTATTTATACGTTCATATGTGTGCACATTTATACGTGGCATCTTGAAGTTCAGTGGATCCATGGAAGATACATTTTGTAAAGGGCTTAATTATCTAATAGGAATATTCTCAGATTATCTCTTTACTGTATTAAATTATTTCATTGATGGTTGTCGATGTAAGTCAATAGTGGGAAATTATGAACGGATTTGTATTGACTGTGGCAACTATGCAGTGGGTGGATGAAAAGAAGCACCAGGAAAGGGTATCCTTGGTATATAACTAAGCTTGATTTATGAAGTAAAATTGGGGAAGACCTTTAGAAAATTCCCATTTGGGAGACAAGATAGTTTGGAGGAATGAACAAGGATCTTTGAGAGGAACTTGAGTAAAGTTAAGTTGGGTGATCTTGGATGAGGGAACTTTCTTCATAAGCTGTAGTTTCTTTCTGAGTAGACTTGGAGTTAATTAGTTGGATGGTTATTAAAAGAATGTTATGCATATTATATGTAACAGTAAAATGTCTTCTGCCTTATTATTCTTTCTCCCATATACACTGTAAATCAGTGTTTTGTGTTCCACCGACAGATATTTATTGAGCCTCTATTTTGTGTAAATTACTGTTGTGAACTGCTTCACAAAATCAACAATTAACAGCAGGGTTGAATGAATGTATGTGTTGGGGCTACAAAGACATCGAGCATCAATCCTTGGGCTCAGTGTGTTCCTAATCTAGTTGGGGAGATAACCCATGCACATACGATGGCAATTAACAAAATAAAGCCATGGTTAAGTATGGGTGAATGGTAGATAAATGCTGTAGACACTGTGATGGCATCTCTGGATGTGGTGGGAAATGTGTTCCTGTGATAGGACCCGGCAGACGGGGTTGCTCTTTGCAAAACACTATGAAGTGTTAATATACAATGTTAAGTGCAATTGTATATCAAGTGCCTTCCGAAGATCAAGCATTAAGCTAGATGCTTTATATTTATTTATTCATCCAAAAATACTTCGAGTGCTTTCTGTATGCCCAGGTACTGTTCTAGGCACTGACTGTTACCTCTCATACTTTCACTGACCTCGAGCACTGGGTATTATTTTTTGTCTTTTAGAGAAAACTGGTGCTCAGAGTTACTTAGTAACTTGTTCATATCATGCAGTTTGAAAGGGGTGGAGTCAGGGAAAATGATACTGGCATATGATTGATATATCTTTAGGTTTTTGATTTTCAAAATAGTAACACACAGAATATTTTAAAAACAACACGTTTCCAGATTAATGTATGTGCTCTTTTACATTGGTTTACTAAGATGAGCAATAATGAACAAGTATAAGAAAAATAGATGGGAAGAAAAACTGGCTTTACTTTCTTCTTTTTTTTCTTTTCAAAACCAAGAATTGAGAAAAGACCAATTATTGAATTATTCTGAAAAGAACACCTTGGTCTAGCCCATGGCCTTGAAATAATCACAAACTGTTGATAAAACATTACTCAGAATAGGTTTGGGAAACACTGGGCTTATTTATATAAAGATTTCTTTTGTTCTCTGTAGGAAGAGACCCAATAAGGTAGTAGGACTAGTTATGAAAAATATATATATATAAAGCAGTCAGTCAATGAAACAGTGGGACCTGAATCTACCAAGGCAGGCTCAGTAGGTTATGAAATTTACTCTAAAGCCAGGATTGTAAAGGGAAAGAAGAAAATTAAAATAAGAGAGACAATGGTGGGGAGAAAATGGAGGGGTGGTGTGGTAGAAATGTGTCCTAGAATCAAAGTAAAAGATGAAAACAGGGAATATGACTAAGATCCTGAGCAAGAGTGCTATAATTACTGATGTTATACACTGTAACCAAAAGAGTATGTCCCATGTTTGCAAAATGAGGTGAAGAGTCTATTTTGACTCATCGGGTGGTTTTGTATTGCAATGGGAATTATATCTCTCTGTTATATGAGTTACGGTGGATCAAGCAGATCTTCAGTTTGACTTAGAAGGATGCCATTGTGGGCATTGATTACAAGGTAATGGGCTGCTTCTCTTTTGTTGAAGTTCTATTTAATACATTTTTTGAGC